TCATCATCATCATCATCAACATCATCATCATCACCATACCATCATCATCATCATCATCATCATCATCATCATCATCATCATCATCATCATCATCATCATCATCATCATCATCCACCTCGCTCCTCCGCCTCCTCCTCCTCTTCCTCCTCCTGCTCCTCCTCCTCCTCCTGCTCCTCCTCCTCCTCTTCCTCCTCCTCCTCGAAACAAATTGACACGGGGCTTGTTCATCGTAGACACGGGGCTTGTTCATCGTTTTCGGCCTCTCGGGGCCCTCACTGGGCCTCGGGGCCCATAAAAAAACCGTTGCTGGGGAAGGGGTTAAGAGATCGGGAGCCTGGGTCTCGAAAAAATCGAGACGGTCGATGTCTGGGCCCGCTTGCCCCGATATCCTGGCGCTGTAGTTGCTTCTCAGCAGTGGCTGCGGTGTCGTGTCGGGCCCCGAGACCCTCGCAGATCGCTTCGGCTCGAAGAATGTCGGCGATTCCGAAGGGTCACCCTTTGCAACCCACACTCTGGGGGGCGGGCGAGGACTTCGACAGAGTTCTCCCCCGCGCCCCGACGAGGGCAACGTGGTGCCCCCAAAGCACCAACGACGCAGATCGCAAACCACGCCCCGCTGTAACCAGGCCCTTGTGGAGCAGACCTCAGTTAAGAGGCCCCAAACATGAGGGATAGGTTTGTTGAAAAGAGCACCCACATGGACGAATTATCCCTCATGCCAAAGACGGGGATCTAAGAAGGGCTGCGTCTTCGTTGTGCGTTTGAGGCCAGGGCGTCCCTGATACTCTCGATGACAATGGGTCCAGGGCTCTGGCCGTGACTTTCCGCTGCGCGGCAACTTCTCCGTAGCGTCGGATCTTCGGGCGAAGCTGGCCTCTCGGGCGGCCCCGCCCCCGCGGGTGCGCGCTGCCGGGCGCGGCGGCTCGGGCTGCCGCCGCGGCCGTGGCGGCAGGGCGGCGCCACGAGAGGCCCAGAGACGGGTCGCCCCCCTCCTCCCCAGAGCCCACCTGGGGCCATGAAAGCAGTACGGCGCGGGGCTTGTCGCTGCTGTCTCTTCGGCCCCTGGGGGCCTGCTCCTCGGCGAGGTCGAGAGACGGGTCGCCCCCCCCCTCCACCCCAGAGCCCCCCCTGGGGCCCTGAGAGAAGAGCACGGCGGGGGGCTCGCTGCTGTTTCTTCGGCCTCTGGAAGGCCTTCTCCTCGGCGAGGTCCTGAGAAGGATCTCGCCCCCCCCTCCTCCCCAGAACCCCCCCTGGGGCCCTGAAAGAAAAACACGGCGGGAGGCTTGTCGCTGCTTTTCTTCGGCCTCTGTCCGAAGAGGCTCGTGACGGAAGCCCGGCCCCCGGGAAGGGGCTCAGGCCTCCCGGACCCCCGACGTCTTGATTCTTTCGCCACGTCGACCCCCCGAGGTCTGGCCCCTTCCCTGGAACCGCTGCTTCATCCCGAGTCGTTCTTTGACGGTCCCGGGGCCTGGTGAGGGCCCCCGGAGGCCGAAAATACGGGGCCCAGTGGGGGCCCCAAAACCCGCCCGTCGTGTTTTTTTGTTTTTTCACAGCGCGAGGGGGCCTGGGCCCTGGGGGCCCACGCAGCGAGAGAGGCAGGCTGCGGGAGGCCAGGCCCCGGGTCTCCATCTGGAGTGCCCTAGCCCGCTGCCCCCCCCCCCCCCCTCCGCGCGTCAGGAGGAGGAGGAGGAGGAGGAGGAGGAGGAGGAGGAGGAGGAGGACACGCCAGGACCACGCCAGGACCACGCCAGGACCACGCCCGGGGCCGCGCCACGCCAGGACCACGCCAGGACCCCTCCGTGGGCTCCGATTGCCCCCCTCGCGCGTCCGACGAGCGGAGCAAGGCGAGCTCACTCGTCGTGGCGCATTGCCTGCCACAGCGCCGCTGGGCGTGCGGCCACTCGGCTTGACTTGGCTTGACTGCCCCATCGCATCCCTCTCCTCACGTCCGTCGTCCGTCGTCCGTCGTCGTCGTCGTCGTCGTCGGCGGCGGCGGAGACAGGGGTAGAGAGAGAGAGAGAGAGAGAGAGAGCTTGAAGAGAGCTTCGTCGCGACCTGGGGCCTCGGCCGCAGAGCGAGTAGAGCTGAGGCTTGCCCTCTCCCGTGGCGTCCAGGACCTGCAGGCCATGCACTGGCAACGGTGCATGAGAACTGCTGACGTCGGCGCTGACTGCAAGCGGCTGCTTGCTGCAGCTCTCGCAACTCTGACATCACTGCTGCAGAATACTCCACGATCGCTTGACACCGATGGCCTGTTGCACCTGGACGTAGCATGCTCCCCGCAGGGATTGCAGTAAGATTGCAATCCGCAGTCAGAGCCATGCCCGAAAAGCACCATGAATCGACGAGCTTACGGCAAAAGCGCTGTTGAAACCTGGATGCGCGAGACGCCTTCAAAGCATGGGCTCCGCGAGATGCTGCGCGCTCGTGCTTTGCGACGGCGGCTACGGGTGCCTTCATGTCGATCACCGGCGACAGAGACGGCATCTCGTCGTAGAGCATGAGGTTCTTCAGTGTTCTGGGCTTGAACGCCACGAGCGC